TGAAAAACACTCATAAAAGATAGTATTGTGTTTAAATCACTTCCAGAGCTCATAGTTTTTTACATGGGCAAGATGGAAAACATCGCTTCATTGGTATTTAATTTGTTTTTTAAGGTGGCAATGTTCCGCGTGAAGCAACGAGATGCAGCAACTCTACTCCCGATCATTAGAGCACATGTCAAACCAGGTAAGAAAAAAAAATACATCCTGCTCAGCTCAATTTTGTCTACTTCAGGCTCTATGATTGTATCCGATGGTTGGGCCGCCTACGGAGGCATCAGAACCCTCCAGAGAGCGTTTACACACAGATGGGTCAATCACAAAGTAAACTTTGTTGACCCCAGCGATCGACGAGTTCACACTCAGTCTATTGAAGCCACATGGGGTGCTTTCAAACGGGAACTCAAAGCGAAATGTGGCGTCCCAGAAGATCAACTCGACGGATACATGTCGACATACATGTTTAGACGCTACTTCTTAAAAAAAAAAACTTCTGAACCAACTTCTGATCGAGATGAAGTATTATAAGAAAGAAGATGACTATGATTCAAGTGAATCTGAAATCTCCACGGATGAAAGCTCTGATTACGACGGCGGTGAAGACGAGTCCGATTCCAGCGACCCGAATCATGGAGACGACGATGATGAAGACGGAGCAGATAGTACAGTTGATGATAATAATGGCTATGATGATGATGATGACAATAATGGCGATGATGATAATGATGACAATAATGACTATGAAGATAATGGTGATAATAATGATGATGATGATTATGATGATGACGATATCCAAAACGAGGATGAATCAGAGTTTGAGGAAGAGCAGGAGGGAGAGCAAGAAGAAGAACAGGACGAAGAGCAGGACGAAGAGAAGGAGGATGAGGAGCAGGATGAGGAGCAGGATAAGGAGCAGGATGAGGAGCAGGATAAGGAGCAGGATGAGGAGCAGGATAAGGAGCAGGATGAGGAGCAGGATGAGGAGCAGGATGAGGAGCAGGATAAGGAGCAGGATGAGGAGCAGGAAAAGAATCAGGAAGATGAGTACGAAGATGAACAGGAAGAGGAAGATCAATTGACTGAAGCACCGACCACGAAAATCTTCAGAAAAAGAAAACAGTTCGATTCTGATAGAGTTTCATTTGCTCCCAAACAACGAAATGAAAGAAACAATCGCGCCTTTACATTTTCAACAAGACAAACCACAATGGCTGCTCGTTTGAATCGAAATAGAAACGAACGTCGAAGTTCTTCTACCGCTTCTACAATGAGAACCACCACCTCTTCTAAGCCAGAAATGATTATCAAAACCAACAGACCAATTTCGTCAACTACACCAAGGCAAACGACGACCAAAACTCGAAAACCTCGGAAGAAGACACAAAGTCGAAAAGCTGATCCTACAACCACCATCACAACCACAGCAACCATGAGGACCACGACCACCATGAGAACAAGACGAACAACTTCCCATCAGTCGAGACGAACCACGACAGAACCTCGTACGAAACGGACGACGTCTGCCCCTGAAACGAGACAAACAACCATCACCACTCAGAAGACTCGGAATGATAGAAGAAGACGCGGGCGGCCCACTACCACCACTCCAAGATCGACTACCATTACTCCAAGATTCACAACCACTACTCTAAAATCCACTTTCACCGGCCGAAGGAAGTTCAAAGGACGCGGATAAGATCATCTTGTTGCAACCGATATTCTTTTTTTTGTGTTCTGCACTATTTATCCTCTCTAATTCTTATATGCCACACCTTTTAGTCTTATACCTTCTTCTGAATAAAAATCAAAATTACAAAAAAAATTATTTTTAAAACATCAAAACTATTGAAAACATGATTGGAATAAATAAACGTTTCAATCTAACCAAATTTTCAAACAAAAACATGAAAGCTATTCAAATACCCACATCTTTCTTTAAGGACCAGAATTTTTTTTAAGGACCAGAATTTTTTTTTAAGGACCAGAATTTTTTTTTAAGGACCAGAATTTTTTAAGGACCAGAATTTTTTTTAAAGACCAGAATTTTTTTTAAGGACCAGAATTTTTTTTAAGGACCATAATTTTTTTTAAGGACCAGAATTTTTTTTAAGGACCAGAATTTCATACTAGAGCCGCCAATTCTAACTCTAGCTCAAAATGAATAATTTTCCAATTTCTGATCATAGTTTATAGGTAACGGAAAACACGCACAGACACAAAAGATTATAGTCACGGGCGGCCCGTAATGACGAAAATTGGGAAAAAGTAGAAAACGAGTCAAGTGGAGAAGAAAGAGAGTAGAAACGAACTTGTGTCAACAAACACAAAGAGTTCAATTTTTATTTTTAATGTAAAAATTGTTTTTAGCTACAAAAATCAGACTACGAAATCAATGAACACGTTCGTGTGCATTTGTGCTTACAGATACTAAAAACAGTGAGCCAACTTTGAAGCGCTTTATCTCAATTCCTATAAAAGATATCAAAAAGAAAGTAACTAATAAAATTTAGCTGATATTATGATAAACATTTTATCAGTTGACAACTTTTTGTTATCTTCCATAGGAACTGAGATAATTAGGGCTTAAAGGAGAGTATCGAGGGAAGCTTACGGGGGTAGAGTCCCCGTTTCCTCTACTTTGAGCTTTTTTCTCTCGGTTCCTGTAAGGGATATCAAAAAGTGATAAACTAATAAAATGTAGCTAATATAATGATAAACATTTTATCAGTTGACCTTTTTTTGATATCTCTTATAGGAACCGAGATAATTGAGCTCAAAGTGGAGCATGGAGAGGAGCTCACCGGGAGTGGTGCCCCCTTGGCCTCTACTTTGAAACGCTTTATCTCGATTCCTGTAAAAGATATAAAAAAACAGTCAATTGATAAAATGTAGCTGATGAAGTGATAAATATTTTATCACTTGACCCCTTTTTGATATCTCTTATAGAAACCAAGATAATTAAGCTCAAAAGGGAAGTATAGAGTAGAGCTCACTAAGGTAGTGCCCCCATTGTATTTACTTTGAAGCGTTTTATCTCGGTTACTGTAACAGATATTGGAAAATTGTTAACTGATAAAATTCAGTTAATTTTATTATAAACATTCTATCAATTGATTAATTTTTGATATCTCTTACAGGAACTGAAATAATTAAGCTCAAGGGGGGGGGGAGGGAAGTAACCATTTATCTAGGAACTGAACTTCAAAAAAGTAACTTTTTTCCTCAGTATATGTTATTTTGGCTAATATGAGGAACCGAAAAACTAAGGAAAAATCTAGTTTTGTTATTTTCTTTTCCAAAAAACACACAACATCATCAGAAAAAACATCCAATTTTTTGACCAATTAGGAGACGGAGACGTCTTTGGGGTCACTGATTTTTTTTCTCTCTTATATAATTGATGTGATCATTGAATCAATCACACAACACATGTGATTGATCAACTAGAGACGTCAATTTGGAAAGGGAATTGAACGAAAAGTTGAGATTTCCATGTGGGACTTTTTTTGGAAATAGAACGCCACCCAAACCATCAATTTTGAGCATATATATCTAGGTTACTGTAAGAGATATCAAAAATTGATAAACTGATAAAATATAGCTGATAAAATGAGCAATATTTTATCAGCTGACAACTTTTTGGTATCTTTTACAAGGACACTACCCTAGTGAACTTTACTATACACTCCTCTTTGAGCTCAATTATCTCAGTTTCTATGAAAGATATCAAAAAGTTGTCAACTGATAAAATATTTATCATGTTATCGGCTACATTTTATCAATTAAAAATTTTTTTAATATCTGTTACAGTAACCGAGATAAAGCGCTCTCCTCCATATTGCCATATGAGCTGAATCATCTCAGTTCCTAGGACAGATATCAAAAAATTGTCAGCTGATACAATGTTAATCATTTTATCAGCTGCATTTTATCAGTTGACAACTTTTTGATATCTTCTACGGGAACCGAGACATATGGGCTCAAAGATAACGGTTTGGGTGACGTTCTATTAGAGTGTTTACGGTATTTTAGAGGTCAAAAACTGCAAAAAATGAAATTTTCAAATTTCAGAAAAATCATCAAAACAAGAAAAACAAATATCTAGTTCCAAGATTTCTGTACTATGGTGCAAACATCAAAAAACAGAAAAACAATAGAAGAGAAGCAGAGAAAGCAGAGAGAGAGAGAGATAGAGCACAAAATTTTGTGTCCTACAGCCTAAAAATGATGACAAAAATATGTTTTCTCATGTTTTTGGCTGAAATATCCATCTGGAAATCAGTGATTTTCAGATTTTTGGAAGATTTTCGAAAATTGTGAAAATTCGAGATTTGAACTCAAATTTTCTATTTTTAGGATATTTATAGACCTCAGAGAAACCAGTTAGTCTTCTATCTACAAAAATTTTAAAATTTAGAAAGGGAGAGAGATAGAGAGAGAGAGAGAGAGAGAGAGAGAGAGAGAGAGAGAGAGAGAGAGAGAAAGAGAGAGAGAGAGCACGTGGAGCAGCAGCCAGCCGAGCTCTCTCGCTTTGTCTTTGATTTTGAGCAAATAGAGCAAATTGTCGGGAGACTTTGGGATGATTTTTGCAGAGAAAAAAGTGTTCCTAAAAACGATTAAAAAAAATAATCTTGGGAACTGTGGTCAAAGAAAAATGTTGGTGTGTTTGATTGATCCTTTAATCAATGATCAGTTACCGAAGTTTCAAAAAATCAAAAAAACTCTAAACCAACCAAAAGCACTGAAGCATCAGTGAACTGCACTCTATGCTTGTCCTTCGAGCTCAATTATCTCGGTTCCTATGAGAGATATCAAACAATAGTCAACTAATAAAATGTAGCTGATATTACGATAAACGTTTCGGCTCAAAGTTGAAAGTTTGGGAGGGGGGGGGGGCATAAAGAGTGATTACGGTATAAAAATAAATTCAAAAAAAGATAGAGTTGAAGAATGACTGAAATACAATTTTCCAAGAAAACATAGTTCGGAAGGTTCTGAAACAATTTTCTAAGGTCCCATTAGACCCAACAGACGGACTTGACCCCTAGGAAACGGATCATTTTATAAAGCATTTGGTAATGATGTGATGGAGGAAAGAGCAGTTGGCAGGTGGTCCATGAAAGGGTCCCGCAATCCTTAGATCATAGAATTCGCACCTTGGATGGTTGTATATTGATCGTAATGACATATTACAGAGCTGATGACTTTCAAGTTTGGAAATGTTTTGATTCGCTCTAATATTGCTTAAAATAGAAGCTCTCCGATATCCTTAACTTTGAACTTAATTATCTCGGTTCTTTTAAAAGGTATCAAAAAGTGATCAACTGATAAAATATTGACCATTTTATCAGCTATATTTTATTAGTTGACAACATTTTGAAAGCTCTCATGGGGATCGAGATAATTAAGCTTGAAGTTAATGGGGTGGGATGGCCTTCTAGTAGAGAGAATACGGTAGCTTTTTTCGAAAATGGGTTCATTTCAAAATTTATCAAATCATTTCCGTTAAAAAAAACTATCAAACTTCCCAGTTTGAAATTTGTTCTCAAAATTTTCAGAACCAAAAATTTCCCACATTTTTGATTTTCTGATCCCAAAATCGACTCGGAACGGATTGAGCTCCATAACTTTATCCAGAACTGATATTTTTTAACAATCTAAAATGGATGTGATAGAAAAATTCAAGAGCTACAAGATTATATTATTTGGATTACTGTATCTTGCTAATGAGTTAAGTTACATGTGTCAGAAAGTTGCGTGTAGGTTTCTAGGTCAATATTTAGATTCTAAACCCCATAACTTTATTCAGGACCGATATTTTAGGGTTGAATGAAATGGATATAATAGAAAAAATTAAGAGCTACAAAATGTTATTATTTGGGTTCCCGTATCTTGTCTATGAGCTATGAGTCAGGGCTCACAAAGCTGACAACCTACTTTTTTGGGTCACATTTTTGAATTTCAGAAAAATCTTTAATTTTTTTGTGTGCCCTAGATTTTTGTACCAAAACCCCTCCAGCACTCTGCCAACTTTTGACCTTGATAAACGTGGATGTTTCAATTTTCAGACAAAAAATTCAAAATCCATCAGTTCGCGCCCTTTGTGCCATCTGAAAATCAATCGATTCATCTGGTTGACACGTGGACCAATTGTTGTTGTTGTCTGGACAGAAACTAGATAATGGTAAGGTTGGCTGGAATTTTCGGATTTTCAGATTTTCAGATTTTCTGAAATTCTGAATTTCTGAAATTCTGAATTTCTGATTTTCTGAATTTCTGAATTTCTGAATTTCTGAATTTCTGAATTTCTGGATTTCTGAATTTCTGGATTTCTGAATTTCTGAATTTCTGAATTTCTGAATTTCTGAATTTCTCTGAATTTCTGAATTTCTGAATTTCTGAATTTCTGAATTTCTGAATTTCTGAATTTCTGAATTTCTGAATTTCTGAATTTCTGAATTTCTGAATTTCTGAATTTCTGAATTTCTGAATTTCTGAATTTCTGAATTTCTGAATTTCTGAATTTCTGAATTTCTGAATTTCTGAATTTCTGAATTTCTGAATTTCTGAATTTCTGAATTTCTGAATTTCTGAATTTCTGAATTTCTGAATTTCTGAATTTCTGAATTTCTGAATTTCTGAATTTCTGAATTTCTGAATTTCTGAATTTCTGAATTTCTGAATTTCTGAATTTCTGAATTTCTGAATTTCAGAACTTCCAGAACTTTCTCCTCTGGCTCCTCCCACTTTGTGTGGTCTCCACTGACCCTACAACATTTGAAGAGGAAATCGGCGTCACGATTGCTCAGCCTTCAGAACCGGAATCACCTACAGTAATCCAGGAAAAGATACCGGATAGTCTCTCAGCCTTTGGAATCCCCGGGCACATGTGGAGATGTGGATCTGGAGAGTATATTACTTCACAAGTTATTCGGGTTATCAATAACACGTGTCCACTGGTTGCAGGTACAGTAATCCTGCAAAATTAACTAAATTAGGGCGAAAATGAGCGATTTTAAGCCAATTTCGACCATTTTCAAGTTGATGGCCTAGAAGGCCCAAATATGATGTTTTCTAGGCCACCTACCAGAAAATTAATTATGAATTTAAATTTGCGAGAAAATTTGCAAAATTTTGAGCACCATATTGACCATATTTTAACAACTTTGAGATTTGGGGTACACACGAAATTTCGTCTGGCCTAAAAATCCGAATTTCGGGATTTCTAGGCCACCTACCTAAAAACTAAAAACAAATTTGAATTTGCCACAAAATGTACAAAACATTGAACCTCATATCGACCATATTTGGATATCTTCGAATTTTGGGGCACACACGAAATTTGGTACCGCCTAAAAATCCAAATTTTGGAATTTTGAAAATTTCGTGTGTGCCCCAAAATTCAAAATTCCTCAAAATGGTCCTAAATAGGTCAATATGGGGCTCAAACTGACGGAAATTTGATGGCAAATTCGAATTTGATAGTTTTTTCTCTCGAAATTCGATTCGTGGGATCCCTGGTTCGATCCCCGCTGTGGCTCGAAATTTTTTTTTCAAAAAAATTTTTTTGATTGTTAATTTTTTTAATTTTTTTAATTTTAGTCGAGTTCAATCATTGCTGTGCGGTACACGATGACTGCTACAGTAACCGTCGAGGTCAAGACATCTGTGATGAGCAATTCTGTGGATGTTTGGAGGTACGGTAGTTTTTCAGATTTTCAGATTCTCGAAATTTTCAAAAAATTACAGTACCAAGCAAAGAATAATCCGGAAGCTGGACAATGCGGTCTAATGGCAAAATTTGCATGTAATGCAGTGAAAACCTATGGGCAAGGGGCCTATGAGAACTCTCTAGGGAATTCTGAAGTGAATCCAGAAGAGAAATGGATTCCAGAGGAAATCCCACACATTTCTAGAGATTTTGAGAAGATCTATGATGTTTGTAGGACTCAAACAGGTGAGAAAAACTAAAAATTCGGAAATTCAACAAAAACGTTTTTTTTTAAATTTTCTATTTTTTAAATTTTGAAGAAAAGAAACCATGTCAAATGTCTTGTAATGTATTTCACCGTTCTTAACTCATTACAAGCTTCAAAACGAGCCCAAACACGACTAGGCTCCGCCCACTTTGAAATTCCCGGGCAGCACGCGACGCACGACCGCGACGCGTCTGAAAAACCAAATCGCGCGGAGCCTAGGCAAAATGGGGTTCATTTTGAAGCTCGACATCTTAGAATGAGAGAAAAATAGGTTTTGGGGAATAATATCAGTATAATAATTTTGAGAGTTTTGAGAATTTTGAATTTTTTCAAAAAAGTTAAAAAAAATTTTTTTTTTTCAAAAAATTTAGTTTCTGGGCTCATTTTGAAGATCAGAATCTGTCAAATCTGAATTTGTCCTAAAAAAAGCTTCAAAATGAGCCCAAACACGACTAGGCTCCGCGCACTTTGAAATTCCCGCGCTGCACGCAACGCGCGACCGCGACGCGTCTGAAAAACCAAAGCGCGCGGAGCCTAGGCAATATGGGGCTCATTTTGAAGCTCTTGACAAGCTGATTCCAATGAAATTACTTTGAAGTTCTCAAATCAATTTTCCAGCCACCATCGGATCATGTGCCCTAAATTCCGATATGTGCTACCGTAATCGTGGTGTTTTACCAAAACAAGCATGCGTTTTGAACCTGATTAGATGCCTTGATTTTACTCGAAATGACCGTAATCCTGATGAAAACTGTGACGTGGCAATTGAAGATGTTCTATGGAAGTTAGTGAGCACAAAAGAGCAAAAACCAGAAAAGGAAACGGGAGATTTGAACATTTTGGCAATGCAAGGAGTGTTGAAAAATCAAACTTTTGTTAAGAAAATTGTAAGGGATATTTTGAGAAAAAAATCCAGTGAAAAATGAGCAATTTCGACCATTTTCAAGTTGGTGGCCTAGAAACCCAAATTTCGAAACTTCTAGGCCACCCACCCGAAAACAATATATAAATTCGAATTTGCCATTAAATTTCCTTCAAAGTAAGCTCCATCTTGACCCACTTTCCTCAACTTTGAATTTTTGGGCACACACGAAATCTCGTCTGGCCTAAAATTGAAAATTTTAGGATTTCTAGGCTACCTACATTAAAACTAAATGCGGATTCGAATTTGCGAGACTATTTGCAATATTTTAAGCTTCATTTGGACCAAATTTGGATAATTTTGAGTTTTGGGGTACACACGAAATTTCGTCTAGCCTAAAAATCCAAATTTCGGGATTTCTAGGCCGCCAACCTCAAAATCAGTTGAAAATTTGAATTTTCGAGAAATTTTACGAAATTTTGAGCCCCATATTGGCTATATTTAGATAACATTGAACTTTGGGGCACACACGCAATATCGTCTGGCCTAAAAATCCAAAGTTTGGCATTTCTAGGCCACGTACCTCAAATTTAATGCTAGATTCGAATTTCTCATAAAATATCAGTTATTTTGAACCAAATTTCGGAAATTTTGAGCATTTGGGGGCTCCTATGAAATTTTCAAATGTTCAAAATTTCGTGTGTGCCCCAAATTCAAAATTCTTCAAAACAGGCCTAAATAGGTCAATGCGGGGCTCAAAATGACGGAAATTCGATGGCGATCTCGAATTTTCGGGTGTTTTCTATGAAAACTCAATTTCCAAGGGTCCCTGGTTCAATCCCCGCTGTGACTCGATTTTTTTTCTTTTTTTTATTGACTTAAAATCGATTTCTAGGGTGTTTTTAGCGGTTTTTAGTTGATTTTTCAATGATTTTCATCCTAAAAATGAGTAATTTTGTGCATTTTTCAGATTTGAAAATTTTGGATTTTTGAAAAAAAAATTTTTTTTTTGAATTTTTTTTCCAAAGAATTAAAAATCAATTTTTTTTAAAATTTTCCAGTATCTCCAAATTGTGCATGCAACGTCTTCTTTCTCGTGGATCATCTACTTCTGCATCGTATTCTCCTGTATCCTCTGCTCGGCAATTCTTCTGATCGCCGCGCTGAGAAATGGGGAAAATGAGGATTACGGTAGAAGAAGACACTACGATGATGACGTCATCAACGTCCGAGTGACTTCCACGTCATCTGGAGTAGATTCGAAGAAGACGTCAACGACTTCTGAGGCTTCTGAGATGAGCAGTTCGAAGAAGTCATCGTCTTCTAAGAAATAGAAGATGTTGGAGTACTTGAACTTGAATTCTATAGCCAAAACATTTGAAAGTATTATTAGTTTATGGAATAAATACTTTGCTTTTTTTTCAAAAAAAAATTGAATTTTGAGCTATTTTAAGCTATTTTTGAGTTGGTGGCCTAGATTTTCAGATTTTCCCGAATTTTAAGATTTTCTAGGCCACCTACTTCTAAACAAGCTTTAGATTCAGATTTCACGTAAAATTTCCTTTAAAATAAACCCCATCATGACCTGCTTTGGTGGATTTTGAGTTTTGGGGCACACACGAAATATCGTCTGGCCTAAAATGTCGAATTTTGGGATTCCTAGGCCGCCCACCCAGTTACTTTGAGAAGATTTGAATTTAGCGGAAAATGTGCAAAATTTTGAGCCCCATATTGACCATATTTCGATAATTTTGGGTTTTGGGGCACACACGAAATATCACCTGGACTAAAAATCGAAATTTTGGGATTTCTAGGCCACTTACCTAAAAGTTAACAACGGATTTGAATTTAGCGGAAAATTTGCAAAATTTTGAGTGCCATAAGGACCATATTCGGATACATTTAAATTTTGGGGCACACACGAAATATCGTCTGGCCTAAAAATTCAATTTTGGGATTTTTAGGCCATCTATTAAGGATTTGATTCTAGAATCGAATTCTTCATAAAATTTTAGTAATTTTGAACCCAATTTGGACAAATTTTGAGCACTTTTGAACATTCGGGGGCACCTACGAATTCCTGTGTGCCCCAAAATTCAAAAATCTTCAAAACGACCAAAATAATTCAATATGGGGCTCAAAATGACGGAAATTCGATGGCGAATTCGAATTTGCGGGTGTTTTCTATGAAAACTCATGTTCCAAGGGTCCCTGGTTCGATCCCCGCTGTGGCTCGAAATTTTTATATTTTTGGAAAATCGATTTTTTTCCAATTTTTAGGTTATTCCGGGGTGAAAAACCGCGGGAAATTCAAATTTTTGGGTTTCAAGGGGCCTTTTTCGACTAATTCTTCATTTATTTACAGATTTTCTATAATATTTTCAGACAAAGTAGTTTTCAGAGACAAAAAATGAGAGAGATAATGACAATACTATCAGTTCAAGATATGAGTGATAAGAGATAAGCTCTAAAAAACGGGGATTTTCCAGGGGGGAAGAAGAAGTAGATGAACGAATGAATGTGGGATTTCAGAATTATGCTTTCAGGATGGAAATTACACGTATTTGGGGGTGAAAAATCTACAGTAATCTACAGTAGGAAACACAAAAAAACACAAAAAAAACTCAAAAAAAAGCGGCGGGAAAAATGATAATTTTCAAATTTTCAGAAAAAAAATTAGGCCAAAATCTCTCGTAATGAGCAATTCGACATGAGTAGCTGTTTGAGGTCGTCATCCACGTTTGACAGGATTTTCACGACTTGGCGGACCTGAAATTTTGAATTTCAGACAAAAAACTGGGAAAATCAAAAAATTTGGCTAAAAATGAGCCATTTTAAGCCAATTTAACCCATTTTTGAGTTGGTGGTCTAGAAACCCAAATTTCAGGATTTTCTAGGCCACCAACCCAAAAAATAACGAGAAATTCGAATTTGCCATTGAATTTCCGTCATTTTGAGCCCCATATTGACCTAGTTTGAGAAGATGGCCTAGAAAAACCCAGAATTTGGGTTTCTAGGCCACCAAGTCAAAAGTAGGCTAAAATTGCTCAAATCTGCCCATTTTTTTGATTTCCGGCTCAAATTTTGTGCTTTTTCTGTTTTTTACGGTTGAAAAAGTTCAAAAACGACGAAAAATGAGCCATTTCAAGCCTAATTCGGTCATTTTACAAGGTTCGAGCCCGCAGCGGGGATCGAACCAGGGACCCCTGGAAATTGATTTTTCGATCAAAATAACTCAAAATTCGAATTCGCCATCTGATTTCCGTCATTTTGAGCCCCATATTGAATTATTTTGGTCCATTCTGAATAAATTTGAGTTTTGGGGCACACACGAAATTTTTGAAATTTCGTAGGAACCCCCAAATGCTCAATACTGGTCGAATTTGGTTTTAAAATGACTGGAATTTTGTGAAAAATTCGATTTTAGCATCAGATTTAGGATAGATGGCCTAGAAATCCCGAAATTTGGAGTTTTAGGTCAGACGAGATTTCATGTGTACCCCAAACTTCAAAATTCACCGAATATAGTCAATATGGGGCTCATTTTAACGGAAATTTTCTCACAATTTCAAGTCCAATATTAGTTTTTGGGTGGGTGGACANAGCATAAACCAGAAAAGGAAACGGGAGATTTGAACATTTTGGCGATGCAAGGAGTGTTGAAAAATCAAACTTTTGTTAAGAAAATTGTAAGGGATATTTTGAGAAAAAAATCCAGTGAAAAATGAGCAATTTCGACCATTTTCAAGTTGGTGGCCTAGAAACCCAAATTTCGAAACTTCTAGGCCACCCACCCGAAAACAATATATAAATTCGAATTTGCCATTAAATTTCCTTCAAAGCAAGCTCCATCTTGACCCACTTTCCTCAACTTTGAATT